ACTAATAAACACAATTATGTCAAACAGGCTTATAACTGGAAGTTACTCACCGGCGTGTCGCTTCGATGCGGCTTGGGCGCTTTGCTGCTGCGGTGCGACTTCTGGCGGATTCTCTGGGGCCCCAGAGATGCGTTCCTGTCCGGTGATGCGATGGAAGAGAGCGGTGCGCGACTATTTCTCACACGAGGTGAGGCGGTTACTCCTGGGGCTCGACTGCCTCCAGGCTAATGCGGTTGAACTAGCGGTGCGCGTGGGCAAAGCCCTCTAGGACTCGACTGTCCTAGGCGGTGTGGTTCCAACTGGTGCGCGAAGGGAAGAGAGCGCGCGAGTGCCGCGTGCTAGCTTATATTACTTCGGCCCTCTTATCAATGCGTCTCGGAGGAGTGCGCTGCTTATTGGTTGCAAATCACGCGATATTCTAGAATCATCTTCTTTCCCCTCTCACCCCACTACCCCGGTGTGTACGGAGGGACAACAGGTAAAGGAAAGGTCGAAGGAAGGACAAATCTTGGCAAGCATACCGTCGAATAAAATAAAATTACGAATGGTTTTTCCGCGCAACCATCCCCCCCCCCGGCTTGAAGGATTTCCTTCAAAATAACTAAAACAACTAAAGCTAAGATCAAACTAACAAAATAACTAACTAACGCTAAGATTAAACCCGAATTTCGACTACAATTTCTAATCTAGAAAGCTAACTTAAACTGTGGAAGAGGCAAGGGGCACAAACGGACAACAGGACGCACGTAAGACCCAACCGTGGTCTTAACGCGAGCTACCCTAATTACTCCGTCGGAACCGGGAAAGACCTCTTCGACAATTCCTAACGGCCAATGGAGAGGCGGCGTATTCTCTTTGGTGAGCACAACCAAAGTTCCTACAGTTAAAGGTTCAGTTGCTGTGTTCCATTTTTGCCGAGACTGCAAAGTATGCAAATATTCCATCCTCCATCGTTTCCAAAACGATTGCACTAACCGGTCTAATAATTTATGGCGTGCGGAAATGCTAAGTTTGTTCTCGTCCTTATCTACGGCGGGCAAATACTTCAAAGGCGTTAAATTCAAAAAATGTGCTGGAGTTAGAGCTAGCGGCTCCGAGGGGTCACTAGACAACGTACGACAAAATGGGCGACTATTCATTACGCACTCAATTTGAGCGAGCAAAGTACTTAGCTCTTCGAAGGACAAAATTTGATCTCCTATTACTCGGTATAAGTGACTCTTTAGACTCTTAATATTAGTCTCCCAATTGCCCCCAAAATGACTCGCGGCTGGGACGTTCAGAGACCACTCGATACGGTTCTCGGCTAGAATGTGAGCGACCTCCGAATTATAATACTTGCTGGCTAAGAGCTCATGTAGTTCTGATAAAATAAGTTTTGCACCGACGTAGTTCGTACCGTTATCCGAATACAATTTACTTACAGGGCCACGGCGGGAAATAAATCTTTTAAATGCACCCATGAAGCCTGCTGTGCTTAGATCACCAACGAGTTCTATATGCACCGCCCGAGTAGTTAGACATACGAAAATGCAGACGTAAGCCTTTGTGGATCTTATACCACGCCCGCGAGTGAGCGTGACCTTAAACGGACCAGCAAAGTCAGACCCGGTGTGCGTAAAGGGCTTTACGGTTTGTATTACTCGACAAGACCCAAGTTCCGCTATTTCCCGAAATGACGGCTTGGGACGTACCCGAAAGCAAGCTATATCTGTGCACCCGATTGCGGATTAAGTTACGTGCGGAAAGAATCCAATAATTCTGAAGCAAGATCGACATCAGCAAGTCGGGGCCAGCGTGAGAATTCAATTTATGACGGTGATCAACCAATAAATTCAATATGGTCTTTACGCGGAAAAACTATAGGGTGCCGTTGGTCGAAACTCAACTGCGAGTTGGACAAGAGTCCACCCACCCTGACGATCCCATCTTGTAAAAATGGCTTAAGGCGTTGAAAAGGCGACTACAAGCTCTATTCGATTGTAATCTTGCAACTTCCTCGGAAAAATGTACACGTTGAAGTTCACGCAACACTAGCAACTCGGCGTAGTTGTTTTTTATTTTTTTTTTTATACTCACGAAAAAAAAAAAAATATGGGTTAATAATTAAAAAAAAAAAAATAAATTGGGAAAAAAAAAAAAAATTTCAAAAAAAAAAAAAAAAATAAAAAAAAAAAAAAAAAATAAAAAGAAAAAAAAAAAAAAAAATCGGATGCTAAGATATACGAACGTCGCGGTAAAAAAAAGAAAAAGAAAAAAAAAAAAAAAAAAAACAAAAAAAAACATTAAAAAAAAAAAAAAAAATTAAAATATTTATAAAAAAAAAAAAAATAAATAAAATAAAAAAGCTTCGCGAATCGACAAACGTAAATTACGCTACGCAATAATTTCGACCAAGAGGACAAGCGGTTCGCCAAAGCAATGATTGGAGAAACCTCGCTCGAAACGCTCGCTACCAGAGCGTGCCTCTTCTCTTCCGGCGGTTGTGACACTGACGAAGGGTTATTGGCCATTGCGAGGGTTCCAATTGAACCCAAGAAGGTCCGTGGAACCAAAGCGGGTGGTCCATTATTTGCATCGGGGTAGACAATCGGCAGGGTTTTCCGTACCGGACACGTGATAAAAGTTCCGCGTTCCTAACTCGTCTTGGATCTTGGCCACTCGGTTCGCGACAAACGTATCCCAACGGTGGGGCGATGAATGAACCCAACATAAAGCGACGGTGGAGTCGGAAAAGGCAAATATCCTTTCTATGTGAACTCTGTCCCTACATGCGCTTATAACTGCGGTAATAAGCTTGGTGAGGACTAATATTGCGCAAAGCTCTAAGCGCGCCAGAGAGACAACCACTGTCCTCATCATTGTATCAGGCAAGTAACCATGACTAACACATAGGTTGTAGAGCAATTTGAGGACTCTGTAAAGGTGCACACCCGCATATCTGAGGTGTTCGACGCTGAGGCCATCGTGACCTGGTGATTTCCCACGCTTCATATTGTTTATAGCTGATTTAACTTCAGCGATTGTGAAACGCAGCGGGCTATTCCCCATAATCACACTGTCCCCTGCGTCACCATCATTCACCATATAACTAACCCTGCACGGTTCCACCTAAAACTGCGACATGAACAGGTTCGCTATATTAAGACACCCACTCATGCACCCCACTTGAGCTGAGAGACTCTTCCTTTGACTCAGTCTGTTCGTGTGCTGCCAGAATTTACCAAATTGCTTAGCCTCACACGAAGATGCCAGAATATCCATTTTAATTTGTTCTTCATTATCCTGGCACCACTTGGTTCTTTTAGCCTTACGTGACTCTTTCATATCCTCGTATAATGCCCCACACGTTGGCTTTCCAACACATACCCACGACTGAAACGAGCTCTGTCATGAGCCGGCCTCACATGCCTGTTCCATCCCGCTATCTGTCGCGTTTGACACTGTACACTCTTATGACTATAAATTGCAGCATCCTGCAATATACCTGTAATATTCTCGTATAATTTATTAATAATTAATTTATGCTCAGATTTATCACAACAATTATTTAACTCTACAGGAAAATCTACTAATCTTAATCTATTATTACAATACACTGAATATAGGTTAATCTGTTGACTATCCCTGTGCCCCCAAATTACCCTATTTGTACTTTTAGACTGGATGGGCTGTACCTGCGAGAAACCTAAACTAATTTTACAGTCCACTTCCAAGGGATAGTGATCAGACCACGTCACATCTTTTCTTACGTGTATGCTTTCAATATATTTCTTAGCCATACACGTTACAAGGCAATGGTCCAACCATCGTGAGCATCACTGGTGTATGTGTACACATTAGATTTTCTTGACATCATTACATAGTCAGCACATACCCACGTCTGCTCATCGCAAAAACTAAGCATTTCATTAAAAAACAGCTCCCACAGGTGTGCGTTAAAGTCGCCTAACATAAAAACTATACTAATATCACATTCCTCGATAATTGCGTTAATTTCACTTTGGCACTCTGTGAATTCCGCAAGGTTCTCGACACAGTCTGTCGGCATATAGACAAAAAAATAAGCATAGCTTGTTCACGTACTTGACACTTAATGCAATAGTGTGAGGCACACAGCCTCACACTATTACATTTTGTTACAGACACTGAAGAAAACACATTCTTACGCCATACCAGCGCAACACCCCCGTATCCCACGCAGAATGCCCGCGCCGGAATCTACAGCAGTAGTACCCGTGGCTTTAAAGTCTTCGTGGACGGTGCTGAGGTATAAGAGGTCGTGGTCCATTAGCCAGACCTCTTGCAATGCTACTACCGAGGCACTCTCACACTATCTACCGATTGCTTCAAGGACTTACAATTAAAGCTAAGCTTTAATGTCCGACGAAATAAATCATTTGAAATTCATTTCAATTGAAGGTTCTATTTCTGCCGCGTGTGAGCTTCATAAACGTTTTTTAAACTAATAGTCACTAATTAGTCACTGAATCTTGACACGTTTTTCACAGCAAAAGACACAGGCGTTTTGGAGTAATTCTGTAATGTTCAAGTCTGAATCCTCCCTAAGATATAAAACTTTGATTTCTTTGGAGCAATATGTTTGAATATCGGTATATGAAACTCACCAACTAGTCACTAAATCTTAAAATGGGACACACATCACATCACGGACACAGACAATAGTTTTCTAGGGGAGCTGCTAGCTTGAATTTAAGCTAGAATCCTCCCAAAAATAGGCTGTATCTCTAAGGCGTTAAGTCACTATTTTTTTCTTATATCACTAAATTGTCACCAATTCCTTAATAAAATGTTGAATATCGTTGTTGGTGATTCAAACTATCAGGACGAAATTATAATGGTACGGTGGCAATGCCGCCACTAACTTAGTAATTTAATTTTCCCTAGGAATTAATAAAAAAATACAAATTTTAACATGGAACTTTTTATTTCACATTATTTTTTTGATCTCACGATACAATCTATTTGGTTTCTATTTGTTATTTTCTTCTATTTCTGTTGTTCGTTTTCTTCCTTCCCCTCTCCGTGTTGTCTGCTGAGAGTTCTTGTTGAAGTTTCTTTAACATCTGCGGCGTGATCAGGCCCTGCAATTTGATTTTGCATTATGCAATTATTCAAATATTTGAAGGATATGTGTTTTCCGCAAATACGTACTGCATTAGCACGCCTAGTTTTTTTTCTAAAAAATGAACGCTACCCCACACCAAGATTTTCTTCTTTATTATGAAGGCAGTTGATATACATGAATTGCACAAGCACAAACATCCAGACCCGTAACAAATATTTGTAGGCCATACAAATACTTGTTCTGAGCAGGCCAACGGCCCTAAGATTCGTGTGTATGAGACGAATACAGGCTACAACTTATAATGCTTAGTTGGTCCATTTTTTTACCGACTTCAAAAAAGGGTGGATATTCAATTCGACTGTAATTTTTTTATATGTGTTAACTCAGAACTTTTCAGTGAGTGAATTGATTTTGATGATTTTTTGTCTGAAAGCTGATGCTTTTCGTGTGGTCCAACATAAATTTAATTAAGATCTGACCAATAGTTTTTGAGTTATCTTTAATAATGCGTATTTAATTGATGATGTTCTCATTTTAATTATATCGAAGTCGAATGTCGAATTTTACCACTTTTTAATTTCAATAATCATACTTGTAAATCAAAAACGTATTCGTCCCGTGCGTATAGGTAAAAGGCGACTTTCAGATTGATTCAGGTTCATTAGTTATATATAGTTTATTAGTTCAGTATTACCGTCGCGTCTACGCTAAGCCCTTGACGGACGGTAGAAGGTGATGGACATCTACGATAGGTCTGTACTATACACAGTAAACATTTATAGAGGAAAATGAAACAGCACATGGGCAACAGCATTTTATAACAACTGAATAATAAACCGCGGTTGTTCAGCCACCATACAAGCCTGGCAAATATGAAAAATATTCCCCCTATGGGACCACTAGACATGCGTCAATCCTGAGTGATTCGTTTATTTCACTCTGGTCACATCAAAGTATTGATGACGGCAACAACATTTTTTTAATGTTCCAGATCAAACAACTGATAGGACCTCAGACCAGAGTTTGACGGCTCCGTGGTGCAGTGGTTTAGCAATGAGTGGCTGCGCTGGGGGCCGCGGGTTCAAATCCCGCACGGAAAAAGTATTTGTATGGCCTACAAATAATTGTTCCAGGTCTGGATGTCTGTCCTTGTGCAATTTATGTTTGTAAGCTGCCTCCACGATACTGGAGAAAATCCTAGTATGGGGGTAACGTTTTTAAAAAATTAAAGAAAATTAAAGAATGCTAACGAAAGGTAAAGAAAGCTAAGTTTAGCAATGTCCGACGACCGACATAATCGATCTAACAGATCACAGAGTACTGAAACTCGAAATGATCCATTTGAATGATTGAGTGCGAACGACTCGGATTATAAGACTAATCAATCTTCATCTCACTAGAAATGAATATCCCTCTTAGGCCCTTGTGTAGCAGTAGATTTCTGGTAGGCTATAATGATAGTAATGATTATGAGACTTTTATGGGCTAGTATTAAGACGAGGCATGAGCCTAAACGCAAGTTTTATAATGCCTCAAAGTATATGATCCACTGCAGTAAACAAACCCAGAAAAATATATGATATTGTCCAGGATATATGCTAGTTAGATAGTGTGTTGAAAACATGATACCGCTAATTTAATACGATAGAAAAAAAATCACAAACATACCTCTAAAAATTTCTTTTAACTAGTAAAAACTAAAAACATAACAATATACATGCAATCATTCTGATTTTTTGTCAGATTTTTATACATTCAACATATTAACGTTATAGTGTTTTAATTTTTTAGTCCAACTAAAAGTTTTTTTTTTAAATCGCATATTCTTATTTCTGAAATAATACGTACGGATGTTTGCGTAAACGCCTGTGCAGTCACTGCCGGCCGAGGCCTGGTGCTGTAGAGACGTGTCGCTCTTTTTGCTGCAGTATTTACGTTAAAATTTTTAAGGACGCCTTAGAAAATTGATATAGGTATAGAATCGAACTATTACATTGACATGAGTCACGCACACAAGTGTACGCACGGTATGCTTCGGGAATCGTAGTCAAATAAAATTATTTTGATAATTTGAAAGATCGAATTTGTTTTTTTTCTTACACCTCAAAAATATACTTAGATACATAGAGTAATTAGACTTAGATACGAAATACGAATACCTACTCTAGAGACTGCTTTGCACTGGGAGCCCTCTACTGGCAGTGAGAAGTTAGCTGCGGACTTTAGGATGGTTTTGTCAGTTATGATAAGACCTTACCTCCAGACTTGGTGGAGTGACCTGAAAGTGAACTTCAGTAACTAATACTGGAACACCTGGACTAGTAGAACTAGGTGTGCCGAGTTTGGGCTCGTTTTGTTAGGTATGATGAGTCCTTACCTCCGGACTTGGACAGAGTCGGACCTGCCAAGGTACACGTACTTTGGTAAGTCGTCTATTGGAACTGGTCGCCGAGTAGTACTAGGGACCTGTGCCGTGCTTGGGGCTCGTCATCAATAAAACGAGCCCAAAGCACACTTGTTAGGTATGATGAGGGAATTGGAGGTAAGGGCTCGTCATACCTAACAAAACGAGCCCAAACTCGGCACACCTAGTAGTACTCGGCGACCTGTTCCAATGCCGATTACCAAAGTACACCTTCAGGTCACTCCATCAAGTCCAGAGGTAAGGTTATAGAAAACAGTTAAATAAATTTGAATTTTCTAATGGTTTTATTTGAAACTATTCTTTTTCTCTTATTTTAGCTATTTTGCCAACGAAACTTGTTTTTTTTTAGAATTTGTGAGTTGGCTTTTTGTAATAAGTACATGCTCATATCATAATACTGACTTTAAAAAAATATTTATAATTAAAACGTAGTATGCTGTCCAGACTACCGATATTGTAAACAGTTTTGATATTAGTGAGTAGGTACTCAAAATATTATTACTATAATACCTAGTAGTGTTGAGAACAGTAGACCTCACGGAAAAGCTTTTGTTTGGAGGTGAATTGTCTGCTTGCTTTGCGCATACTGTGTTCACGCGGCGCTCTCCGACAGCCGGTTGCGCTCCGCCCACTGCGGGACGCGCGGGTGAAAAACGAATTTGAAATCGTGCTAAGACCTCGTCTATCGATCATAGTATACATGGCTCTACAATAGTAATGTAAAATGTATTAACCACTTACTTTCGCAACCAGCATTTCAGACAGTTTTCCTTTAGATTCGTCACCTCTCGAATGTACGTGTGTAGATTTCTTTCCTCGGCCTAATACCTCCACATTCTCGTGTCCCTCTTTCAGTACTTGTTCCGAGTTTCTTAGTAACCTGTATAAATGAAAGAGTAATCATAATGGTTACATAACATAAACACTCACGCCTGTCACCCAGAGGGGTAAGCAGAGACTACAGACTTCCATTTGGCACGATCCTGACACACCTCTCTTGCCTCCTTCACATCCATACACCTACGCATACATGCTCCACTCCAATTCCCCCTCGATTCGATCATAAGTTATTATAATTAAAAACAATATCTATACATAAATATGTAATGGGAAAACTTTATACCTCATTTTAAGAATATTGCTAGCACTGAGGATGGATGCACTGAGGAGGCGTGAGATTTAGCATTGATAAATTTTATATGGAGTGCAGAAAGCTAAAATTAATTTAAAACATTTATTACCATATTTGTTTTCTTTTATTCTATATCTTTTATACGATCAGCGTGGCAAACGAGCACACAGTCCACCTGATCATAAGTAGAAGTTGTGGCCCATAGACATCTACATACATCCGAGGACTAATATGGAATACCTCGTTTCCAGTAAAAGAGGTTTCCGGTTCTCTACACTCACCATAACACACTGCTATTTTACGCTAGTATTCTGTGAGAGCGTGGTCCTTTGAGCCGACCCATTCGTGCTACAACTATACTACCAATATAGCTGCAGACTAACCTTTGTATTATTTTGTTTTAAGGAATGCAATAAATAATAAATAAATAAATACAGATACATCAAACTAAATAAAACATACATTGTTTGTGTTCATAATATCAATTTCTAACGCATAGATGTCATTAAATTTGGACTATAGTTTGTTGATGTCTTGGGTTAAGTGCCAATGAGTATATAATCAGTAAGTTTTAGGCAATTAAAGCAAAAAAGAGTTTATTTTATATATTGGATTTGTTAAATTATAATTATCAATAGTATTAATTATCCGCTCAAACTCGAAATAATTAAAACAACTAATAAGGTAAATATAAGGCAATCTATTTAGGAGGTTGTAATCAATGAACACATTATCATTGAATTCGACATATAATATTAGGATATTAGCTTTACATTTACAAAACCGAATACGGTTGTATATATGCATGTATAGATGGTAAATAGAAAACTAAATATCCTTCAGTTATTTATAAGAGATAGAGCTACTTTACATCGTAAGGCTGCACCTCCACGGAAGGATCGATAAGACCGACGACAGTTATATTTTTTTATGAAAATAGAATAGGGTGACAAACGAGCACACAGTCCACCTGATGGTAAGTGGTTGCTGTGGCCCATGGACATGTACATCTACCCTCGATTACGAAACAAAATGCAGACACCGTTGTCACCCGTGAGGACTTAGGTGGAATGCCTCGTGTCCAGTAAAAAGTCTCGGGTCCTCTACACTCACCATACGAAACACAGCAGCACTATGCTACCATTTGACGCTGGTATTCTGTGAGAACGTGGTTCCTCCCCGTTCGACCCGACCCATTCGTGCTACTAATATAACTGCAACATGACTCTACCACGTAAAAAACACGCTCTTACGGAATATTAGCGAGAAATAGCAGCATGATGCTATTGTCTTTCGTATGGTGTGAGTGTAGAGTCACAGTGTCTGGTAAGCAATGTATTTATAGTCAATATGATGTATTGCATGGATGGAATTAATCAAATAATGACTGTTTTATTATTGTGTTTTAAATTCTAAAATGTGTTAGAACAGTAAATCTTGTTCCTAAAGTAGAAAGGATGCAACATATTAGGTACAACCAATAATGTAAATATTCAAACGAGTTCAAAAAAAGGCGGAGGTACTCAATTCAACTGTATTTTTTATGTGTGTTACTTCAAAACTTTTCTCTAGGTGAACCAAGTTTGATGATTCTTAATGGAAAGCTGATGCTTCTCATGTGATCCCATATAAATTTGATCAAGATCTGACTAGTAGTTTTTGAGTTATCCTTAATAATGTGTATTTAATTGATTTCTACTAGATTGATGACACGGTAATTTTATATAAATTTATCTATATACAGTATTCCAACTTCATACAAACGGACGAATCGAGAGCTATGCCTACGCGCCTCGATCTCGGCATGCGCTCGGCATGCAGGTAGTCGTGACTGTGCCGCAGTGATGATTTTGTGGAATATATAAAAAAAATATTCCGAACTTCATTTAAAACCAAACATATAAATTATAAAATATCTTTTACTTGGTTATAGATACCTCTATAATCAAGTAAAAAATATTCCTTTTCTCCACCTTGTCCATGTTTCCCAAAACAATTTTTAATTAAGCTTCATATTAGAATGCGGATTTTTTATACTTAAAAATTTAATAATAAAGCATTTCGTACGTCCCAGCCGAGGCGCAAATATTTTTCGGTTGCTAATTCATAAGACCGATTTGTTATTCAAATATAAACATGGTTTTTTAATTAAATCTAACAATCAAAAGACGACACACACGCACAAAGTACCTATTATATTTGTTTATATAAAAAAAGTATATTTACAATCATAAAACTAAATAAAAACTCAAAGCAGGCAAATGTAAAAACGCTGGAGGCAGGCAGCCCTATCGCATGTTTACGTACCGCGCGGCTGTAGGCGTTTATTTCAAAGATACGGCCGAGTTACAATACTGTATAGATAATATTACCGTGTTGATGATGTTCTGGTTTTATTTATATTGAAGTCTGTTGTACAAAATTTTTAATTTACCACTTGTTTATGCTAATGAGACATACCGTATTAGTCTTTAGACGTGCCTGTGTATCTGCATTTTGATTCTTAATTGGAGATCATTCTATTTCGAGTGTGTTTTGGGTTACAGCATCCACTTACCATCAGGTGAGCTGTGTGCTCGTTTGTCATTCTACTTCTATATACGAGTACACCCGCAAGCTTTGGCTCACCTAACTGTTCTGGTACATTTTCATTTTTTTTTGTGATGGGACCGCAGGTTGGAGGGAGCGTAGTGACATTATAACCATGCGTCACTCTCCCCACCCTTCCCGGCCGAAATATGGTCAGAGGTGGAGCCATAGATCAGATCCGCCACTGGGGCTAGAAAGGCTGTTGCTTCCGGGTGCACGTTTTTCCTGACTCCATGGCTTTAGCGTAACGGACTGTGGGATGTGTGCGAAAGCGTTCCTGTGACCCTACTAATATACGGCGAAGGTGGACCACCATGGGGTTTTAGTCGGTGAGAGTCCGATATAGCCCGTCTTTGCTTCCACGAGAAGTGTAAGGGTAAAAGCTTGCATTTTCATCAGTAAATGATATAATTTGCCAAAAATACCTCGTTATTTGGAAGATACCCTGCTGTATTATCGCGTCCAATTCAGTTTCCATTTCTCGAACGAGTTTCACATCGGGGAACATATCCGGGAATCGGTAACTGTAAAGATTAATAAAATCATTAAATTGAATTTGACTATACACATATTTCGATAAAAAGTAAAATATTCCTAATCATACGTTATCATCACCATTGCTGCCGGGATGTTATTATAGAAAGGTGAAAAAACGAGAGCACACTGTCCACCTGACGATAAGTACAACGCTGTGGTCCATATGCATCTACATCTTTCATGGATTAAAAATAAAAATGCAGATGCGTCGTCTTTCCCGGGGACTAAGATGGAATGTCCGACCGACTATACGAAGCAACAGCGTTATACTGCAAGCTGATGCAATATACTGCAGAATAAAATACACCGGTATTCTGTGACAGCGTGTTTATTCCCCGGTCGAGTCAATCCATCAGGGCTGCAGCCGTAATATATCTGCAGTGGCTGTCGTACGTGGTAGAAGGACAATACCAATTAAATGGAGGGTCTGCGAATATTCACTGCGAATATTCACTGTTGTTGAATATTCACAGCTGAACATGAACTCCTATTTAGGTGGAAATAAATATAACCGTGTAGTGGTTAACAATATCCACTACCCCATATCATCCCGTGGGTGTCGTCAGAGGCGACAGAGGGCAACAAATGAGAAGATGGGCAGCAGCGTCGTCCGAAAAACGACTAAAAATAAAAAAGTGTCTTTGCGGGAGGCCTATATTTAGCAGTGGACTCTAATAGGCTGTAACCATAGAATATTATAATATATACATAATAGAACGGGGGTGTGGGCGGAGCCCGTATAGCCACTATAATGCCACAAGACGTCAATTCACACGTATAAATGTCAACACGAGATGTGTTTTGACGTTACAATCGTTTCCAAATTTCGCATGCATATTATTTAGAAAATACCAAATTGCACGCTATTCACAAACAAATATGTATTAAAATCCGTCTGTCAATACAGCGAATCGGGTTTGTAGTAGTGATTAACTAATAATACGACTTAATTACTTGTATGTGTGCTCCCGGTGTCGCCGAACCTCGGTACAAAATAAGGTTGACAGCCATTCTATTGCGTATTATAGTATTCTATGGCTGTAACGGTAACCATAAATATTCTAGTACAGTAAGATGGCGGTATGAGACGTTTGGTACCAGCCTAACAAGATCTATAACACCATTTCGTCTCGTGGCTGTCATAATAGGCGACTATTGAAAATACCAGGAAAACATTAAGGATACGAATAAATGGTTACTGTCGCCGGTCTGGCTAAACGGAACTGGCGGAACAGGAAGCAGCATCAAGAGTGTGAAACGTCTGGGACTTCGATCGTCTATCTGTCTGCCAAGCGAGGATTAAGGCCAATCTTCCCTTCCACGGGAGATGACCGTATAACGCAATGAACTTTTACTGGGTGGCAAGGAACATGTGGCCGTAGAATGAAAAAGGGAAATCTCCCGCCGGACAAGGTGTTCAGCGGGGAGCGGCCAACACTCCGTGTGATAGTTCGGAGATGTTCTATATATACTGTTTATGATTCGGAATATTGATAGCGTGATTTAGGCTTCGGTGTGTTTAGCTTGCGGCGCGACGACAGCGCCGCCACAAACTTGAAAAGATTACAATGTATAAATTAAATGCTAATTGCGGCAAGCTTAGAAAGGCCTACAATCATCGATGTATTAAAATAGGACGATAATGGCTTCGGCTAGATGGCGGTATTATAATAAAATCGTGTACGCCAGACGTAAAACTCCCAGACCTGCAGCGGGTAGCAACGTTAAAGGTGCGTTGCATTAGGAACTACAACATGCCTGACAAATGTGATGATTAAGGCAAATCCAGCAGTCGACTTATACGAGCTGATCAAGAAAAAGAAGAAATGTTATAGTAGATGTATATTTTTTATAGAATAAGAGTACTAAACGAGCATTTAGTCCGTCAGATGGTAAGTGGATGCTGTGGCCCATAGACATCTACATTTATCCTCGATTAAGAGTTAAAACGCAGATGTGGTGTTACCCCTGAGGACTAAATTGGAATGCCTCGTTTCAAGTAGTAAGGCTCTCTGGTACTCTACGCTTACCATACGAAACAAAGCAGCATCAAGCTGCTACTTTACGACGGTATTCTGTGAGAGCATGGTCCTGCCCCGGTCGAGCCGACCCATTCGTGCTACAAGTATAATATAGTTGATTCTACCACATAAGAATATGGCATCTGCAGCATTCCTATTAGCTAGTCTAGATAATAACTAAAGAGATTATCTCTATTTTCTATACATGCTCATAAGTACCTCGACCGGGGAAGGACCACGCTCTCACAGAATACCAGCGTAAAATAGTAGCTTAATGCTGCTGTGTTTCGTATGGTGAGTGTAGAGAACCGGAGACCCTTTTTACTGGAAACAAGGCATTCCATCTTAGTCCTCACGGGTGACAACGTATCTGCATTTTGATTCGTAATCGAGGATAGATGTAGATGTCTATGGGCTACAGCAACCACTTACCCTCAGGTGGACTGTGTCGAGCACACAGTCCACCTGAGGGTAAGTCACCCTATCTTAAAAAAAACAAAAAAAAACATTATTTACAGCTTTACAGCTGTACCTCTGAAATCAGTTAAAATCTACCAACTGAATATAGCAACAATAATATGAAATTGTCAGCAGTCATTTGGGACTGTGAACTGTCATACACAAGTGAAAACATAATACGGAACTATCATTATAATCGGGAGTAGCCAACTGTGAATATTACGACAAAGTGGGCTCTCAGCAAGACAAGCGATGGCTCAGTAGTAAGTACAGTGGCTAAATATACCGGTGTCGCACTGTGGGCTGTGAGTTCGACTCCCGCACGAAACTAGTATAGGTATGTCCCAATCGATATATAAAAAAAAAAAAAAATATAAAAATATATATATCGATTAGTAGTTATAATAAAATACAATCTTATGCACCACACACAAGTATGTACTATATTTTAGAACATTGGTATATTGTTTCGTATCTCACCTTAGCCAGAGGTAAAGTTCAAGAACATCGAAGACAGCTTCCAAATGGACAAGATCCATTATGGTCTTCGGTGAGGGCAGCGGCCAGTCGACTACATTGCTGAGCCAGCTCTTTGTGATTGGCTCATTTCGACTGTATTGACGGACCATCTAATAATTAAGAATACACGGTTATTATGTTAAATGATTATGGTAATGAAATTCGTAACTACCATTTAAACCAACTAGTAACCAGAGGATTTTTTTTATGAATGATGTATAGCTGGGAAAAGAAACTTCTCGGGTGGCAGCCTCGTACCGGTAGGCAAAGTGTAGGTTAGACTCCAACTAAATAGAGTAACGACCTGGTAAGAATGAAGTCGATGGATGAAGGTGGCTCAGGACCGTGCTTTGTGGCATTTCTTATCGAAGGCCTATGTTCAGCAGTGGACCGGTGAATACTGTAATGATGATGATCATGATGTGTTGTATGAAACATGGCAGTTCAGAGACTGTTCGCTCGCCTTAAGTATGCGAGAAACCAAAATTCGATCCCCATCGGTAACAATAAAATGGTTGATCGCAATTTTAAGTGCACATTTACTACGTTCGCCGTGGTGTAGAAAAACATCGTAAAGAACATGCATATCTAAGAAATTACAAATGTTTCGAGAGTAAGTGAACTCGGTCCACACGCATTGAAGCAGTGCGGCGGACTCTGTCCTGGTCTAAAACCCTTCCAGAGATGAAATGAGGCGAAAGAGGATTTTATTTTTCTAAGCAATTTATTTTCAATTTTAATTTACACAGATTAATTTTTAACCAATTCCACGACAGTACACGTAGAACTCTGTGATGCTTACAGTGAACCAATCGCATAGCGGGGTTTATATCGCCACCCAACATCTCATACAAACAAACTTACAGTACACCTGATGCTGGCTACTGCAGTCCATTGGCACCTGCAGTTAACTTCAAAGCGAAGAACGCTACATATGCGTTGTCACCTCTGAGGACAAAGAAGGAATGCCTCACAGTCTGTAGCAATACTAATAGACTGCCTTGTTGGTCTAGTGGTTGTAGTAGTGCGACAGCTGATCATGAGGTCCTGGGTTCGAATCCCGGGTCGGGAAAATTAATTATTGAGTTTTTCCGTCAAGAAATTCTCAGTGGTTGCCCGAAAGTTGGCGGTGTCTCACCCCCGTACCTCGGAAAGCACGTAAAGCCGTTGGTCCTGCGCCTGATCTCTTTCCGGTCGTGTCGGTTTACCGTCCCATCGGATTATGAGAGTGAGGGAATAGAGAGTGCACCTGTGCTTGCGCATACACTTAGGCACTATAATCCTGTCCTGCGCCGATGGCTAGCCTCCGTTGAGGCAGGCCGCCGTGGCCGAAATTCGGTCTGGAGGACATTATTATCAGCAATACTGATTGTGTATACCTTTTAGACCGGAACCACAGTTAATACCTTACAGTTGGGAAAGTAATGTACCTACATGTGCAGAGCAACGGTGGGGGCTTTGCGGGGCAGAGGGCGGGACGATCTTGTGCTAGCGAACTTCACTGATTATATAGAGATAAGACAACACATGCGGTTGGCGCGAGTATGTTTTATTGTACTTATTTAACTAATTTTAAGTGCCGTTTACGAAAAATATAATATCTATAATGGTTAATTATATATGAGTTACTAAGTAAAATTGAATTCAAAAGGTGTTTCACAACTGTAAGGTTTCTACACTGTGCCATAACACAGAAGCTATTTAGCGACAGAAATAAGTAAGAGGTCTACACTCCGACATACTCTTACTAGTAAGGAATTCCACCAGCTAGCGCACACACATGCAACAATTCTTTCTTTGTTTCTTACTTCTTTCACCAACTTTAACTTTTTAAACGTCTTCATTGTACAATACCTTGAGGAAAGTGGCGCACACGAAAGGGAACTTGTTGTTTATGGGCGCGCAACAGAACACGTATCGCGCTCGCAGGGGTAAAGGAACATGTTGTATCATCTCCGCGAGGAACTTGAACGCCTCCGTGTTACACATGAAGTATAACGAGTCGTCCACTGTACACAGGTGCACAAATATGTCCTGCGAAAGCGGAAACAATTGAATGATTTTGAATTAATTAATTTCTTTAATAGGGTTATTACACCTATTTTAAAGAGTATTTTAAATAAATCCTAGAGTGATAATGAACCACTATAATTTTTATATAATTTTTTTAAAACTGAATAGTGCCATAAAAATTACTTTTAATATATCGTTTTAAATATTAGCGTGAAAACGCTAGCCGCCATGCTGATTAACTTGTGACGTCACTATCTTCGAATGTTACCGATTTTGCAAAGGAATTCTTTACTATATACTTTTTAATGTTTACTAATGAGTTATCATCATATCATTGTTGTGTTGTGCCTGAATGCTCGATAATCGTAATAACTTGAAAAATTTCGAAATAACACATCTCATATATAGTTCTCTTAATCAGCGACACAGAACACTAATACCCTTAGGCCGGATTAGTGACGTTACCGACAGTTTCTAATGTGGCGGACAGCGTCTTACAGATTTGAGGCACACAAAATAATCTTAAAATTGAAATATAAAATTTATTATGCAATTTTATAAATAGAAATCAATATTTCTCGTTTACTTTTTACATAAAATACATCATAAATATATATTCTTTAATTTTTTTACATGGTGTAAAATATCCTATTAATAAAATCAGGCGACTGTATATTAATATAAAGTTACAGCCTATATACGTCCCACTGCTGGGCACAGACCTCCTCTCATTTCTGAGAGGGTATTAGGGCAAGGAAGTGTCCGCCACGCTGCCCCAATGCGTGTTGGCGAACTTCACATGTCTTCGAAATTTTATTTTTCTTATTTCTCAGACATGCAGGTTTCCTCACGATGTTTTTCTTCACCGTCGAGCACGTGGTAAATCCGCACTGAAAATTGCAATTAACAATTTCATTGGTGCCGGCGGGGATCGAACCCGGTTTGCTCGCGTAATGTGAAATTTACAGCGAGCGCTAACCATCTGAGCTACCACGGCTCTCTATTCCATATCCTATACCACGGCTTATCTATATTAATATAAGTAGATCAAATTAAGCAAGACACATTTTTATTTTTACAAAATATTACAAGTAATTTTTGCAAATATCTTTCAATATATAATCTTCTAAGAGTATGGCGTTATAAATAAATAGCGATCCGTCCCGGCTTCACACTGGCGATTTCTGGATCTCGACAACAGCGCCACCTACCTGGTCCAAATGAGAATTTAAACCATCTAGAGACCTATTAGCTAAGAGCCGTGGTAGCTCAGATGGTTAACGCTCGCTGTAAATATAACAGAACGCGAGTAACTCGGGTTCGATCCCCGCCGGCACCAATGAAATTGTTAATTTCAATTTTAAGTGCTGATTTACCACGTGCTCGGCGGTGAAGTAAAACATCGTGAGGAAACCTGGGTGTCTGAGGAATAAGAAAAAAAATATTTCGAAGACGTGAAGTTCGCCAACACGCATTGAGGCAGCGCGGCGGACACTTCCTTGCCCTAAAACCCTCTCAGAAATGAGGGGAGGCCTGTGTCCAGCAGTGGGACGTATATAGATTGTAACTTTACTTTTTACTTTAAATACCTATTGACCTATTACAACATAAACAAACAATGTCATCAAAATCAATCGTGCCATTTTGAGTTTTAGCAAGACTAATGGACAGCAATTTTTATATATAGAGATAATAACTACTAACCATTAGGCTGCTGAGACTCGCGTGAGGTAAGTGATACGCATATAACTCCATTTGTTCGGCGGTCGGATGCAATCCCGCTTGCGTCACTGGATCAGATGGCTTAGATAACAAAGTTTTTAACGTAGCCAAGTCTTCCGGTTTGAACGCCGTTACGTAACCCGTCTCCCAAGCGCTGCCATATCTGCCAGCTCTGCCTACAATGATGTTGCGGTATTAAATAAAGATAGCCTTCGTCGAGCATTTTTTTCATTCTTTCATTACAGCCTATCAAGGACCACTGCTAAGCATTTGCCATAGTCGCCACGATGGGTAGGCGAGCTGGTAAGCACAGTTTATTAAATATTTTGAGCTGTTATTAGGAAGATCATACCTTGTTACCATCTGATGCTTACGACACCTATACGATGATTTTTCTTATGCTACTACATATACTCATATAACAAAAGAATAGCATTTTCAGTACATATTAAAGGCGAAGAGACTACTGTTTTATTGAATTATTATTACATTTAGCAGTAATATTTTTAACTCCAATGGAAAGCATTTAAGTAAATGATAATAATTAAGATGTTTTTATTTTGGAATTTAAGGTGAAACCTACGGACTGTTCCCAGCCATTCTCCAGCAAGATGGCGCTGAAGTCAACATTTTTAGTTTATTTGGATTTTTGTGTAATTGGAAAATTATTAAGTCATAGGCTACTCCTACTTAGCGGTTATCGGATATTACATTTTATTGGAATGGGTCATATCACTACCTCAAAATCCACCCAATTCGACATTAATTTTAATTATAACATCTATCATTGAATATAGTGTCGTTTACACACACAGACGTATCCCTACGTTTACGAAGCTAGAACACTAGATGGCGTGTATGTAAAAAAACAAGTTTTTAATTTTTGTGTATGTGCAGATTGGGTAGGCAGAACTACAAAACGCTATGTACGATTGTTATAAAAATAAAATTTATATTTGTTGGCGTAAACTATTTAATTGATTTATAACTTTGGGAAATAAATTATGCCAACATTGATTACAATATAACGCAGTTTTATTTTATTACTTTACACTATTGAATTTTTTATAAAAACAGAATTACCAATTTGAAGCAACATAATTATACTGATACATGCCTATTCACTCAAAACTAATAACACTGATGATTTGTAACAGTACCAATTATTACAATAATTAGACATTTCATAACCAACACGTAAGAAACTATAATTCATAAACAAGAGATTACAACAAATCTATAACAGAATTTATTTTGTGATAATAACCAGAAAGTTTGAAAATAATATTTCCTCATTTCGAAGCACTCAACAAAAGCTTTTAGTAAAACAAAAATATAAATCCTATACCTACGAGCAATTCTTGTATATATACATATATATAATCGGAATCTCGGAAACGGCTCCAACGATTTTCATAAAATGTCGTTTTGTCCCCGTTTTCAGGCAATGAAAAACTGCTACAATATAAGAAGGTAAATTTTAACACTATAATGATGATCGTAATAGCTCAAGTGGATAACGCACTGTCGCGAAATCGTAGTTCCCTGGTTCGCGTCTTGTCTTAGGATTGACTTTTTTCCCTTTTTTTTTCAAGTTTCCTTCTTTTGTGAGAAAATCTATTATTTCGAGCCCTTTTTGTAGAAAATACGAAAATTTTATTGCACTCATGATTTTTCATTTTAATAACCAGTTCAGTTTTTTTCTACTATGTCGGTTAGATCAAAAAATATTCTTCATATGTTATCAGTATGTATTTTTAATCTAAATATAACTTCCAAAACACACGATTAAAAAAATACCGAGAAATGCTCGGTCATCCAGGTACTATACAATATAAAATATACAAATCTTCCTTCAATTCTATATGAATAGGGTTGCGTTCGGAACACAAGATCTAGAACACTAAAATGTACAAAAAATTACTTATCTTTTTTATTTCAATGTTATCTTTATATTCCTGGTAGAATTGGCCGACGAATAAGAAAAATATAACTCAGATTAGAATAAGCTATTTATTTATAAACAATAAAGCACGGGACAGAAAAAAGGATTTTATATAAGTTAATTATATTTGTTTCTGAACGCACCATAAGGTATGACGTAGTGTCGAGTGAACTTGAGCTCTACAAAATATAACAAACTAATAATGAGTATCTGTCTGAAACTTTTTGCAAAATGCGTAAAGGTGTTTAATGTAACCCGGCAAAACCATATTTAGCAAATGTTTGCAAGTTTAATTTTGTGACTACTTTGGTAGTTTACCGATTTATAATAATTGTATTTATTGTTCACCAAAAACATATTCAAACACATTCATATATGAAACACTGACACGTATGACGTAGGTAATCAGTACATGTGACGATATTTCAGAAAAATCACGGGCCAGCCTGCTGTTAATAATACTACCGAAAACATAATTGCGTTTTTAGAATAATTAATTACTATACCTACGATAAATTACAATATAGTCTCAAATATATACTAGAGAAATATTGCAATTCGAATCAATGAAAACATACATACAAAATATGTATAATACACAAGAAATTCCGCGCGCAAATCATAGCGCATGACAACCGAAATCAGAATATTATATTTTATAACAAGTCAAACAAGTGAACGTACGTAAGTTTGGCAACGCTTTTGTTTCGTCAATTCAAGGTCAGGAATACGTTAGTACCGTAGACTTCTCTGTCTACGGTTAGCACTCTTATCAGTTTGTTGTCAGGAAGGACGGCAACTTCGCTTTACCTACGACTTTTGGTATTTATGTTGCCACACAACGATAATAATAAAATTGTTTACAAAAAATATAGGTGTCTAAGGTCATTAGTTTTATGTTATTTTATACTGTTTTTTTTAACGGTTGGAAAGGAAATTAAACAATTATTGAACTTAAGATATAGATTTATCAGAATTATTTAAGATTACTTGGATGCCATCTAGCGTGCCAATGTTTAAACGTCGCCTCTCGTTCGCTTGTCAAAAGTCACGCACACTACTAAAGAAGTGTCAAATTTTTCCGGGATTTCACTATTGTTTTTCTCAGTATATAAGTTATTGCCTATAAAGGCCAGACGCGTACACATTTCATTGTAGAGAAGTGATAAAATGATCAGTTTTAAAGAAAGAGTGTCTTAGTGTATATTTTGGTTAAAAAATGTATGGGCGGACGGTCGACGCATCCACCTTAAGGTGGGAATGTTAAGGCTGAAATTCGTTTGTAATGACGATAGTTTCATATTAGTGTCATAAAAAAGGCAGATAATAACACAAACCCATAGCACCATTGACTTATATATTACTAGCGTAAAGACCGGGCCGACCGCGCAACTAAATCGGACCAGTGCGATGGCCCTAAAATGACAGTTTAGGGCCAACGCAACTCGGTCAACAGTGGTGCGTGCGCAGGTCAGATTTGCCTGTCATAAGTATGCCTAGTTTTAGCGTGGTAAAACGATGCAAAAATTACGATAAAAAGGTTAAAAAGGAACATGAGATATCGTGTCATCGGTAAATAACCTTATATTAATTTTGTTATAATGAAATTATTACATAAACACCTTTTTAAAGTTTTATTTTACAGTTAGTCAGTTTAGTTACTTTACCAAGGTTAGGCCAGGCTTGGATTCAGATCCTCAAAAGTATTGTACATGGAAAATTAAATTATACTATTTGTCAATTTGACGTTTCATGTTTCTTTTTCCCATGTGCCAGGATTTTGGCGTCACGCGTCTAGCTTATCTATCGTTTCGTTTTTTTGGCGGTTTTATTTTTATTTTTGTTTTATTTTGTCTAAAGAAATTAGTATAAGTTAAATTTTGAATATTGGTACCTAAATTATTTTATATTGAATAAGGGTAAAACGAAAAGAGTACAAAAGAAACGATACCTACTTAATTGAAACTGAAAATCTGATTCATAAAATATTACAAATTCTGTTTTCAAACCTGCCTGACATCAAATATGTTTGTCAACTGAAGGTGTTTACACTATGCCGTAACACAGCAGCTATTTAGCGACGTAAATAAGTGTGAATAAACGCTAGCTGGTTCAACAACTATTTTTAACATTTTTATGAAGGTACAATCTCGACATACAATATTAATCTACCCACGATATACTACGTCCTTCCTCTTTTATAATGAACACTAGTAAAAAACTTTATAATGAAACCAAATAAAAGATTACTTTAACCGTAGAAATGGACCGTATACCAAATATAAACTCATACAACGATTTTTTTAATATTAACTCATTCACATATTGGAGTTATCCACAATATGACCAAAACTTTCTAACATTTTATGAACATCATGTTTAGTTTTTAGCTAGCCATTTAATATGTACTTAATTAATAATCTTCTTCGTATTCGTGCTTAATTAATAAGCTTCTGAGGCATAGTTTTTATCGTGATTACCCACATTATAGTTGTATCAAGAATGTAACATAAATGCATCGATCGAGCACTGATTGACCAGAAAGGGAGCTAATGCTGATTTTATTTAAAAAAAAAAACTCGGTACTCATGTACAATATAGAAATTCACGATATCGTAGGGTTAACATCAATAAATAAAAGGAACCAATAATAATACAAGTCGGTCGACTTTAAGGTAAATAATGGTATTTTCGCTTAGTATTATTACGGTACTACATACTACACACTATGAAATAATGGTACAAATAGAATAATTATACTTCGAAATCCGACCCTGGTTACGTCGTGTTATGACGTTTGTATTATGACAGATGCGCTACTTTTTCTTGTACGAAGAAGTTATGAGTAAAATATTTAGATAGGCGCATCCTTTCTTTTGAAATCATCGCATGGCCCATAATAATAATTGAGTTATAATGATAGTACATTTAATTAATAAATAAACTATATTACCGGCAATTTGTAAGGCTTGAGATATACTGATAACATCCATTTCTTTGTCACCATCTTCATTGACAATAGGCTTAATTAAGGAATAGAAGATTATTCTTCTTATACTCCTGAAATATATTCACATATTAAAAAAGAAATTATTTAAGTAAACGATAATTAACGTATATAAATAACGCCATTTTTCGTTTCTTTTTTTTTTTGTCAAGGCCATTGCGGCCCCATTCGTTTTGGACAGGTTATTTTTATATATTTTATATATATCCAATATTAATTAATATTTTTTATATATTGTATACAAAATAAACCAGCAAAACAAAATAATAACACAAAATCATACAATTTATTTACAACTTCAAAGTTAGTATGCTGTGGTATACCGTAAAATCACTCTAAGTATACGTTTTTAATTAAGAATATTTTGTTGAATTAAACTAAATAGTGTAACTAATAGAAATATTAAAGTTATTGAATTTTTGAACAACTTACAAATTGATACCAAGTCCGATCGCATCCGTCGCAACCATTACTTTACAGGAACTCTCCGGATCATTAAACTTATTCGCTTGCGCTAATTTAGTTCCAGGAGGTAAGCTTCCGTATATAACCGCGACTTCATGACCTCTACAAAAATATATTAACAATAAAAATCTAAATAAATTTAGCTATAAATTTGTTTTAAGCTTGTAAAAATTTGAGTTCTTAAGGTAAAAGAATAAAGTAACACGAAATTGATTAATGAAAATAAAATGTAGTTTATTATTTTGATATATATTTTTATTTAGAAATGTTAATTTCACAAGGTTTATCAACAATAACGTAAAACAATTGTGAACATTATGTTTAGTGTATACACATACGGACATTCCTTTGACTCCTACTAAAAAACCGACATCGAGTGTAGAACAGATAAAATACGCGAGCCAGTAAATATTGTGAGCACACTCAAACAAGGCGATTACATGTTTGTACTCGTGCCTCGTTCATTTTTACAGCCCTTCCTTCACAAGTCCACTGCTGAACATAGGCCTCCCCCAAGGAATGCCACAAAGCCCGTGCTATTTGGCTATTTGACATTCATCAAAGTTATTATCACCATCGGCATCAGCGTAGGCATCAAAGTGACAATTAGAAAGATCTTGGGAAAAATGTAACCTTTTGATGGTTTGGTCTTCTGTACCAAATTAGGCATACAAGTTGCCATTTCGATACACTACAAATACAAATGGGTGTATTTGACCGGATGCAACCAACTCGCAGAAACCGCCATATGACAAAGACCGTTCCTGAGCCACCTGCATCCATCGTCTGACATGATGATGAGAAAACGGCCCTGGATCAGAGAAGATGGTCTCGTTTCCAGTAAAATGGGTCTTCGGGTCCTTACACTTACTATACGAAACACAGCAGCATTAAGCTACTATTTTACGCTGGTATTCCACGAGAGCGTGGTCCTACCCCGTCGAGCCGACCCATTCGAGCTACAACCATAATATAGGTGCATCGTGGCTCTACCACGTAAATAATAATTTTGCTCATACATTGGCACATATGGAGGATATTCGCCGTAGTTGTCTCGCTTGGCAAGCGGGTTGCCAACCGCATTATTTTTATTATTTTGAGTTGTTATCAGGAAGGTCCTGAGCCAGGTCTTACTAGGTCGTTACTCCATCTAGTAGGGGGCCGCCCCATATTTTCCCGACCGATACGAGGCTGCCACTCGAGAACCTTCCTTCCCCATCGGTTGTCGGTTCTTCGAGCTACATGGCCGGCCCATTGCTGTGGTAGAACCACCGCGGATATCCTAATTTTTGAACCTATCACCCGGAGAAACCCCGAGCATAGCCCATAGCTCGCTAAGCGACCTTGAATACGGCCAGCAGTGAAGGACCACGTCTCACATCACTAGCAACACACATTGATTGTACAATTTCTTGCTTTCAGGTTTTGAGGTACATATCCCTAACAAGAAGATGTGTCGTAATCTCCCGAACGCTGCCCAGCCGAGTTGAATCCGTCGATTGACCTCTCGGTCGAAGTTGGACTTACCTAGTTTGACTATTTGTCCTAAGTAAACATACTCGACGACAACTTCGAGCATAGTGCTCCCAACAACTACCGGCATAGGTGTGACATGGACATTACACATGACCTTTGTTTTGTCCATATTATCTATATATATAACTAACTATACTAACTAATCTATCAGTTTACGTAACACATGCTACTTAGTTACTTCACTTCTTACTGCAGGTTCATAGAAATATTTTAAAGCAGGTATTATATTTAATAACTAAAACGGTCATTCAGTAAGACGGCCAACTTTACGAAAGCTGACGCATGTATTTTAAGATTACATAAATGACGAACGTGACAACTTATGACTATTTTCTGATTTATTTTTATAGAATAAGGGTGACAAACGAGCACACAGTTCACCTGATGGTAAGTGGATGCTGTGGTTCATAGACATCTACATTTATCCTCAATTAAGAATCAAAATGCAGATGCGCTGTCACCCCTGAGGTTTAAGATGGAATGCCTGGTTTCCAGTAAAATGGTTCTCCAGTCCTCTACACTCACCATACGAAACACAGCAGCATTAAGCTGCTATTTTACGCTGGTAATCTGTTGAAGCGTAGTCCTTCCCCGGCCGAGTCGACCCATTCATACTACAACCATAATATAGAGGCAGCGTGGTTCTACTACATATAAATGATATCCAAGTAACCAAAAAAGTAACATGAAATGAGAGATATGTGAGAGACATTACATGTTTGAGAAATCATTATAATCATTTTTGTTCATCACAACATAAATACATAATTTACTTACTATTATCACGACTTACAAATCTTAGCACAACCGCACCGTTGCAAGAACTTATTTGTTATATAGCTTATTCGTTTAAAGGATAGCTTATTTGTTAAAATAGCAAACCCAAGAAACATTTAATTATATTTTTCCTTTCCTCACTACTAGATGCTTTTTAAAATTACTGTTTATTTCTTATTTATTATCTTTTGACATTGGATACCTGCCTCATGGGACTGACCTCTGTTCAATGGCTCTGCTTACACTGTATATATCGTTCTTATTGAAGCATACTATGCAATCACCCGGCTTCACATTGTCCAAAGAGCCCAATGCACTATCCTCCACTTTGAGCTCTGTTAGTCTTTTATATGTACGTACCTACAATACATTAAACATTATTTACCATAAAAAGTTCTACAGCAATAATAATTATTAATTTAAAAAAAAATTTAAATCACCCACCATTAAAATAAATATGTAATAATATATTCTTAATACTAGAGACCTACCTCCAACAGAAACAGAAAATTTTCCACAAATTCTTTAATATTATAATAACCCTTTTTATACAAACTTTGTTTGGTAAAGTTTTTGTACAATGTGCGGGTCAAGTTTTGTACATTTTGAGGGACTTAGTTGTACAAAATTATACATCGGCGCAAGAATGAATTTCTTACTCGGTGGAGTCGAGTAACTAGCAAAAGTATAAAGGAAAGTTTTATCAAAGTATTGGATCAAAGACTATAATACTTACTATAATAGATGCAAACTTTTACTACTCAATTGGCCTATAAAAGTGACATTTAACTTCAGATGTCGCTCTTAACTTCTAGAACTATGCTGAATGTACAAAATATCAAAGCAAGAAAATAAAATTACAAATAATATATTTAATTTCAATTAATTGGATATGTGTGTCAGCAGCATAAGAATCGAATACTCCACCCCATTCATTCCGAAGATTTCGTAAGAAGCGAATATATCTAATTAATATATATCTCTACGACATATTATATATATATATATATATATATATATATATATATATATATATATATATATATATATATATATATAATTAAATATATTAAAATAAAAATTAAACTATTTCACCTCTATTTCTTCACCGGTAGTATAACAAATTTCTTCTATGAGATTAATTGCACCAGCTTCCCCACACAAATGAATTTCATCAGCTTGTAGTCCTGTGAATACAATTATTAAAATTATTGCCCATACTCACTATATATACGTGAGTATGTATAATATATAAATTAGGGGTTATTTTTCAAAGATAGCCAAATTTTAAAGTTAAGTTCAAATATATAAGTAATAATATATCGTTACTGCAGTCTTTGAAAATACGAATAATTGAGGCTTCTACTTTTAATTGAAATTATCGCAAATTGAATGTGATTTATGGGCAACAACGTTTTTGCCTACAGATCGACCCTTACGTTAGAGTTAAAATAATGCATTAACACTAGAGATGGGCCGAATATTCGTTTTATATTCGGTATTCAGCATTTTCGGCTGCTTTACCGAATATTCGGCTAAATCACCGAACATTCATTTAAGTGGTACTCAGTGTCCAATCTATTGAAATGTACGAAATGAGTGATGCCATGACTTTCATAATTTTACTGTTAAAAGTATATTTTATTTATGGGCTAAATGTACGATGTATTTACTTTATTTGCAATTATAGTAAATAGAAATCTTGATAAAATATTTTTAGAATATTCAGCCGTTTATATATATATATACACGGCCGAGTATTCGGTTCGGTAAAAATTTTACCGAACATTCGGCCGAATATTCGTATGCGGTGAAATCCATATTCGGCCCATCTCTAAGTAACACAATTATTTTCAATTGCGGGGCTCATTCAAAATGATTAGCATAACCATATAGCCATAGCCTTACAAATCTTTTGAATAAACATTGCTCTAAAAGAAAAATACTTATATTTAAAACCAATTCATTTACAAAAATTCGTTTTATAATAAAAAAATTTCTCGGGCGGGAAAAAAATAAAAATTTTTTTTTTTTAAAATAATAATAAAATTTTAAAAATAAAAAAAAATTAAACTGATTTATGACAAAAAGATACCTAACACAGCTCTTGTCCACGCCCAGCCTCTGCCTCTGTCCCCAATCATTTGGATTTCATCAATAATTGCAACTTCATCTGTAAAAAAAGTAAAGTATATTTTAGTGATAATTTAATCATGTTTCCGTGGCGATAATTTATAATAGTTCTGAGTCGCAATTGCTGGATTTGAATTCGAAACAGAGCCAATGTTTTTTAAAACAATAATAATAGAAATTAAAAAAAAATATATTGGAATAGACCTTTCCATTTTCATTGGTGCCGGCGAGATCGATCCCGGGTTGCTCGCATACTGTGAAATTTAAATCGAGCGCTAAGCTTCTGAGCTACCACGGCTCTTGACAAATGAAATTGTTAATTGCAATTTTAAGCGCTGATTTACCACGAGCTCAGCGGGTGAAGGTAAACATTGTGAGAAAACCGGCATGTTTGAGAAATAAGAAAAAAAAAATAATAAAATTAAAAATTTCCCACATCCTACTTCAATATAAATAAAATGAGAACATCATCAATGTAGTCTAAGTCAAATACGCATTATTAAGGATAACTCAAAAACTACTGGTCAGATCTTGATCAAATTTTTATTATTATATTATATGGGACCACATGAGAAGCACCAGCTTTCAAATAAAAAAAAGAATCATCAAAATCGGTTCACCTGGAAAAAAGTTCTAAGGTAACACATAAAAAATACAGTTGAATTGAGAACCTCTTACTTATTTTGAAGTGGGTTGAAAATGAAAAAAATCGAAGACGTAAAGTTCGCCAACACGCATTGGTGCAACGTGGTAGTCATTTCCTTGCCCTAAAACCCTCTCGGAAATGAGAGGAGGCCTATGCCGAGAACGGGGACGTATATAGGGTGTTAGTGTAAACACCGTTATCCTTGAAACCAGTGGTTTAGTTTCACTTATAGAACGTAAATTTAATGAAAAATAACAACATTTTTTTTTTAGTAAAATCACAATTTTTCCTTACAATTATTTCATCCTAGGCGCGTAGGCATACTAAATTCCAGTAAATACATAGTAGCGGCCGCGGTACGCACGGGATCTCGCGCGCAGCTCGGGGGTGAAAGCCGGGGGTATCAGTCCATAGTGTCAGAAATGACGTATAAATTTGATTTGCAACGCCCGCCGCACCGCGCGCCGTGCCGATGTTCCACGCCGCTCATTTGTGTTTTAGGTAGTTGTAGTTTTTACGCGAGTTTGTAATTACACAAACGTGCAGTGGACCGAAATGGTACGGCTTTATGCCGCAGCTGGTGATAACGAGAACGAAGCTCGACGAATGTACGCAGAATTATTCCCTGGACAACCTGTGCCAAGCCGTTAAACTTTGTTGGCAGCCACGCAAGGGTTACGTAGCTACGGACAATTTACCGTGCCGGCTCATGCTCAGGGGCGTGGCAACCAGCAGCTTCCAGTTACCTTTCAAGAACGCATCTTGGATTTCTTCGCGGAGAACCCAGAGGAGAGTGCCAAGCGGGCGGCCTTTATTTTCGGTATCGGGCGCACAGGGTATCCATGAATTTACGGACGGTGTCGGACAGAAACTTTTTTAATTTTATGAAAGAAAATAGCGTTTTTTTTTAATTCGGATAAATATTTTTATATTAAAGCCTATGATTTCAGTGACAACGGTGTTTACACTTACACACTATATAGGCTGTAACTTTAACTTAAACTTTTCCATTTTCAATTTTCACTAAATTCAGAGTTGTTGTATACTCTTTCCTTGCTGCCTAATTCCACTAAAAATGCCCATTTTTAGTGGAATTAGGCAGCTGGAATTAGTCCGAATAATTCCTCAGAGTACTCCCCGTGGTAAATGCGATAAAATAAACAGAGATGCAACATCTCTTTCACAGTGCCAGTGAGTCAAGCTGATTGGAAAGAGCTCGGTCGATTCGAACGGCTCTGCGCTGGATGCGATCAAATGGAAGGAGCTGGTACTGGGGAGCCCCAGCACTGAGATGGGAACAGTATTCCATGTGCGGCCGAACCTGCGTCTTGTAAAGTTGCAGGAATATTGTCCCACTCTGCTGAGCATACCAAGCTTTTTAGAGGCCAGTTTGGCCTTCTCTTCCAAGTGACCATGAAACTGCACGTCACTCGATGTATCGACGCCGAAGATTCCGATATTGACTGAGGCAACAAGGGGAGTGCCTTGAAACTGAGGAGATACGACAAAGGGGTTTTTTTAGCGGTAAACGCGCAAACTTGTCTTCGGGGAACTAGAATTAGTTTTAGTAATTGAACTGGACTAGATTTAGTCGCCCCCATTCGGAGACTTTGTTCAACAAAGTCGGCAACGTTTTGCCAAGAAATATTGGCACGGCCGGTGTATAAAGCATTACCAGTGCTGTTTTCCGCATAGCAACCAATGTTACAGAAGAAACAGCGTTGGTGATAGCGCGCAGGCTTGTGGAAGCCAGCCTCTTCCATTATGCCCGTTTGGCATAATCGCCATGCAGTCTGATCGCAATACAAGACGTACTTGACGCTGCTGTCCGTAGTCGGGCTGAAATTTTTTAATACTGCATTTATTTTGTCTGGCGAAAACGGAACGGTAAACGGAATCATTAGGCCATTTTATATAATCAGGGTGACAAACAAGCACACAGCACCTGACGGTTAGTGAATACTGAAGTCCATAGATATTCTCGATTAAGAATCAAAATGCAGATGCATTGTCATCCCTATAGACTAAAATGGAATGCCTTGTTTCCAGTACAAAAGGGTCTCTAGTTCAATAAACTCACTATACGAATGCTATTTTACGCTGGTATTATGTTAGAGCGTGGTCCTTCCCGGACGAGCAAACCAAATCTTGCTACAATTATAATACAGCTGTAATGTGATATATGGAGGAACTTTTCTAGCATGTATTAGCGCGTTTTCTCTACATTATCGCTTTTTTCAACATGCACAAGACGAAATGGTATGATGGATCACCTATGCTGCCACTACACCAATAATCTCATTCCTAATATCTTTTTGGCAGTATTGAGAACTAAGCCTAAGACTTATGGTTGAATGTTTTTCTTTAATTATTGTATGTGCAGCACGAATGAATCGGCTCGACCGAGGCAGGACCATGCTCTCACAAAATACCAGCGTAAAATAGTAGCTTAATGCTGCTGTGTTTCTTATGGTGAGTGTAGAGAACCGGAGACCCTTTTTACTGGAAACGAGGCATTTCATCTTAGTTCTCAGGGGTGGCAACGCATTTGCATTTTGATTCTTAGTCAAGGATATATGTAGATGTTTATGAGCCACAGCATCCCCTTACCATCAGGACGACTGTGTGTTCGTTTGTCACCCTTATTTAAAAAAAATAGGAGTTATTAAAAGGAATATGGGCCCATTGCTGCAGGTTGGCGATTTAGATTATCGGAAATCGACGAAAAGACTGTGACGCGTTTTTTAAACAGTTCATGCCAATATGGAGATTTTTTTTCATAGGATAGAGTGACAAACGAGCACACAGTCCACCTGATGGTAAGTAGTTGCTGTGGCTTATAGATGTCTACATCTATCCTTGATGACGAATCAAAATGCAGATGCGTTGTCAGTCACCCGTGAGGACTAAGACGGAATGCCTCGTTTCCAGTAAAAGGGTATCCGGTTCTCTACAATCACCATACGAACCACAGCAGCATTAAGCTACTATTTTACGCTGATATTCTGTGAGAGCGTGGTCCCTCCCCGGTCGAGCCGACCCATTCATGCTACAGCCATAATAGCTGCAGCGTGGCTCTACCATGTATATTGATTTGTGCTTTTAAATACAACAACTATATTTTTTCTTTTAATTAATAAAGCTGTGAAAAGAACCATTTGTATAGACTGATTTGTTGTGTACAATGAACTTACATGTATCATTTAGAGAAGTCATCTCAACTGTACAAGCAACATGACTAGACGGAGTAAGCTCAGGTTCGCTTAATAGATAATTTTCAGTCTCTGGATTGTCTTCATTGTCTAAGCTTTCTGTTATTGTCTGGTATTGTGATGCATGCCGCCTTTCTTCACCAGTAATTAAATCACATGGCGTACCCTGAAGTATTATAAAATTATATTCTATTATTGGTACCATTAAGAGAAGTTCATGTCACTACTGGCATTATATATAATGTAATGAGGTCTTAGGCAATCATATGTTTTTAAAGATAATTAATTAATAATATTTCATTATTAAATAATAACACCTAAAAATATAATATATATAATATTTTAGTTTAAGAAATTTATTCTAAAAAAATATTACAACTAAACATATATTTTGATTTTAAAAGTGAATATTATAAGCAAAAATAATCTCTTTACTTATTATTTGACACAATTACCTAAAATAAATTAATGTGTGTAGGAAATATTCTTACTGTGTAGTGGTGGTGTAAGAATATCCCATGCCCCATATCAACCCGAGGGTGTCGTCGGAAGCGACAGAGATCAACAAATCAGGGAATGGGCAGCAGCATCTTCCTAATAACAACTTAAAAAAAACTGCGGTGGCCAACCCACTTGCCAAATGTGGCAACTATTGCAAATATCCCCCTCATGTAGACGAGGCCTATGTACAGCTGGGGACTTTAATAGGCTGTAACGGTAGTTATTTTTCAGAACAAAACCCTCAACACCTCTCTAAGAACACCCTTGAAATGTACACCAACATTCTTTATATAACATAGGGGGTGTTGAATGTGTTAAAACTTTCAAGTGAATTATTTGATTAATTAAAATATTTGTACTATTTTCTTGCTACAATGGATGTATTAAAAATACACCGCTTATAATAAGCGTTTAAAAAAAATTGTATTATTTAAAAAAAATAGAAAAAAATTAATTAAAAGAAATTGTTTTTAGAGTTTAAGCATAACCCTAAAAACAATTTCATATAATTTCTACATAAATAATGAAGATGATTTCTTACTTTACTGTTAGACTTATGATATATTTCAGTAGCAAGTAATTTCAATGGTCCACAATAAACACCAGACTTTGCTTTAAGGAACCTCTCCATAGCATGATAAGTCTTTCCAGAATTAGTAGGTCCAGCATGAAATATAATTTTTCTATTTAAATTACGAGCCTGAGGATACCTGAAAAATAGGTTTAAATTTTTATTTTTGTTTAATATGCTTAACAATTAAATATTACGGAAGTAACAACTGACTTCAAAGAACTAACAAGTGGTAAAATAAAAAAATTGTACAATCCACTTCAATATTTGTAAAATGGGAACATCATCAATGTATTCGAAGTCAATTAAATATGGATTATTAAGGATAACTCATAAACTACTGGTCAGATTTTGATCAAATTTATATGGGACCACATAAGAAACACCAGCTTTCAAATAAAAAAAAGAATTATTAAAATCAGTTCACCTAGATTAAAAGCTCTGAGATAAAACACACAAAAAATACTGTTGAATTGATAAAATCCTCCATTTTTTGAAGTCGGTTGGAAAGAATGTAATCATCATCAAGTTGGATGATGGTGTAAAATTATTACATCGACGACTTTTTCTGCCAGTAGGGCGGCGTCACTTAAAATGAGGTGTAATATTTAAAAGATTTCAAAACAGAGAACTTAATTTATTTGAAAAATGTTAAGGTAAATGTTTCTTACTGTACTATTAGTTACATTTTATATTAATTTGATTAAAAAAAATAAACCGAACCACAGATATTCATAAAAGTAGAAATAATTTTTTTACTTTTTAAAAGGAATAAACAACTAAGGTAATGTTTTTTATTTTTTTGTTAACCTTTTATTTAAAACTAACTTCTCAATTAAATGACACTGTGTAGTAAAAATCTTCACCTCAGTGTCAACTAGCGACATCTGGTGAGAGAAATATTATTAGTCCTCATTATTCACCAATGTGTCATGCAGATGCTTTTGAAAATTAAAGAGTGGATCCCATTATCAGATCTTGACCAAATTAATATGCTACCTCTGATGCACCTCCTTTCTAACAAATAAAACTGGTAAAAAATTATCACATACATTAAAAAAAATTGCATCAAATTGAGAACCTCCTTCTTTTTTGAAGTTGATTGAAAATAAGAACAATTTAGCAAGAATTTATTATTTGTATTTGCTATTTTTATCGGTAAAATTTTTAAGTATAAAATATTTTAAAATAAAATGCATACCAATTTGCAGGAGTTCTCAGATCTGATATTTTTTTCAAATCATCCAAACAGTCCAGATGTGGGAATGCTAATCTGGCGTGCCGAAGAAAATATGGAAATAAATCATCAATATGACCAGCACCTTGAATTTAAGAATCAAGTTGAATTGTAAGAGCTTACAAAGAATTATGTTTTTATTTTACATATATTAACAACTTCTCTGTCCACAAAATAAACACAATAGTTAAACATTCGAAATATTCATATATGACTCACGTGACAGTGAAATTGTTAACATATGTTGTAAGAAATAAATAAGCAAAAAATTTAATAAATTGTAAAAGTGTAAACAGAAACAGGTAAAAATCTGAGGGTGCAAGGTGAGGACTATATGGTGGATACATTAACACTTCCCAACCAAGCCCTCTCAACCTTTACTGAGTGGCCAAAAATGTGTGGTCTGGCGTTATCATGATGAAAGACCACTCCATTTCTGTGTATCAATTCCGACTGTTTTCTCTCAATTTCTTGATTGAGTCTCATTAGTCTTTGTACAGTAGAGATCCGAATCGATGGCTTTGCACGGCAGCAAAAACTCATAATAAACTGTATATATAAAAATAAAATGCCCTTTCAATCGCACCATACACACAGCATCACCTTATTGCATGTTAATCCGGGATTTTATACAGTCTGTAAAGCTTGACTACCTTTGTCACCCCTGAGGACTGAGATTTTTGTTTCCAGTATAAAGGCTCTCCGGTTTTCAATATTCACCATAATATGAAACACAATCTGTGAGAGTGTGGTCCTATCTCAGTTGAGCCAACTCATTCACGCTACAACTAAAATATGGCTACAGTGCGGCTCTCATCATCATTATCATCATTACAGCCCTTCACAAGTCCACTGCTGAACATAGGCCTCCCCCAAGTAATGCCACAAAGCACGGTCCTGAGCCACCTGCATCCATCGACTTCCTGCATATCTTACCAGGTCGTCACTCCATCTAGTGGGGGGTCGCCCTACACTACGCCTACCGGTACTTCCATCGGTTATCGGTTCTTCGAGCTATATGGCCGGCCCATTGCCACTTCAGCTTACTAATCCGTTGGGCTATGTCGGTCACTCTGGTTTTACTCGCGGATATCCTCATTTCTGAGTCTATCACGCAGAGAAACTCCGAGCATAGCCCTCTCCATAGCTCGCTGAGCGACCTTGAGCGTCCTCATACGGCCAGCAGTGAAGGACCACGTCTCAGATCCGTAAGTCATCACTGGCAACACGCACTGGTTGTACAATTTAGTTTTTAGAGATTGAGGTATACCTGACGAGAAGATATGTCGTAATTTCCCGAACGCTGACCAGCCGAGTTGAATCCGTCGATTGACCTCTCGATCGACGTTGGACTTACCTAGTCGGACTATTTGTCCCAGGTAAACATACTCGTCAACAACTTCGAGCATAGTGCTCCCAACAGCGAGCATAGTGCTCCCAACAACTACCGGCATAGGTGTGACATGGACGTTAAACATGATCTTTGTTTTGTCCATGTTCATCTTAAGACCTATCCGTTGGGAGGCACTATTGAGGTCATTGAGCATAGTGCTTAAGTCCTCCAGCGATTCTGCCATAAGGACTATATCGTCGGCAAATCGAAGGTGAGTGATGTACTCGCCATTGATGTTAATACCGTATCCTTTCCAGTCCAGTAGCTTGAAAACGTCTTCCAATGCAGCGGTGAAGAGTTTCGGGGATATAACGTCACCCTTTCTCACATCTCTCTGCAGTTGGATAGGTTTCGAGCTCTGGTTCTGTACTCGGATAGCCATCGTAGCCCTACTGTACAAACACTTCAGCACTTCGATATACCGACAGTCAACTTGGCACCGCTGAAGGGACTGCAGCACCGCCCAAATTTCGACGGAATCAAAGGCTTTCTCATAGTCCACATACGCCAGGCAAAGTGGCAAATTGTACTCTTCAGTCTTCTGTACAATATGCCGCAGGGTATGTATGTGGTCTATGGTACTGAAGCCTTTTCGGAAACCGGCTTGTTCGGGAGGCTGGAAGTCGTCGAGTCTGCGTGCGAGACGATTCGTAATGACTCTCGAAAACAGCACGTAGACGCGGCTCAGAAGGTAAATCGGTCTGTAGTTCTTCAAGAGAGCGTTGTCGCCTTTCTTAAAGAACAAGACCACCGCACTTCTGCTCCACGCCTCTGGAGTAGTGCCACCATGGAGGACGGAATTGAAGAGCTTTTGAAGGACTTCCAGTACCGGTGTTCCACCCGCTTTCAGAAGCTCCGCTGTAATTCCATCCTCGCCTGGGGCCCTGCCGTTTTTAAGGTGCTGAAAAGACATTCTAATCTCGCTTAGACTGATTTCCGGGATATCATCGGAATAGTGTCGGATAAGACTTGCTCTTGGATCGTTACTCACACTTGCATGTGGCTCCAACGATGATGTGTACAGCTGCCCATAGAACCTCTCAATCTCACTCAACATCTCAGGTGTCCCGGAAACGATGCTGCCACATTCAGTCTTCAGCTTTAACAGTTGGCTCTTTCTGGCAGACAGATCTCTGGCAAAGACTTTGGAGCCCTGGTTCCGCTCGATCGCTTCTTTAATACGAGCAGTATTAAAGTTGCGTAAGTCTCGCCGCATGCATTTGGAGATCTGTCTGTTCAGTTGCCTGTATGCTGTCAAACCTGTTGACGATTGCAGCCTCATCTCCCGTCTAACAGCCATGAGATTAAGAGTGTGATCGGAGAGTTTTTGTGTTCTTCTGCGGTGGGTTTTGCAGAACTTAGCTCCGACCGCATGGACAGTTTCCACGAGTTTGTCATTCATATCGTCCACTGCATTGCAATCTTGTAGGCACTGAAAGCGGTTGTGTAACTCGAGCTGAAAGTTTTCGGGATTCTGGATTAGAGCACGAGGGGGGACGGAGCGTTGACTTCATTAGACGAGACCTCTCCAACTTAACGTTTAGGTTCAGTGTGCCTCTAACCATTCGGTGATCGCTGCCAGTTTTCACCCTTGCGATCACTGAGACATCACTGAACAGTTGGCGTCTGGTCGTCATAATGAAGTCAATCTCATTTTTTGTCGAATCACTCTCTCGACCTCGGTCCTCCAGGACAGGAGCTCGACCAGGTCCACTTCCTGTGGGGCCGCTTCTGGAAGAAAGAGTTCATCATAAAGAGTCCCTCTTTCTCCATAAAGTCGGCCAGCTGCTGGCCCCTTCGGTTCCGTTGCCCTACTCCAAATTTCCCTAACTTCAGCTCACCGCTTTCTCTTGTGCCTAGTTTTGCGTTGAAGTCTCCCATCAACACTGTGTAGTGGGTTTTGGAGGAATGCATGACTTTGGAAATATCCTCATACATTTCCTCTACCTCCTCATCCGGATGTGCCGAGGTTGGTGCGTAAACCTGTATGACCTTCAGCGAATACCGTTTGGTGATTCTGAGTATCAGGTACGCGACCCTCGTCGACACACTCCTAATCTTTACAACGTTGTTGACGAGAGACTTGTGGACGATAAATCCGACACCTCCTTGGGACAGATGGTCGCCCTCCCGGTGATAGAACAAGTTGCCGGATTCGAGAATCACCGTGTCCTCCCCCTCTCTTCGGACCTCGGATAATCCTATAATACTCCAGCGCAACTTGTCTATCTCTTCTTCCAGCTCCAGGATCTTCTCGTCAGTCCTCAGTGTGCGTGCGTTAAATGTTGCCAGGTCGAGTCGTCGTAGGTGGCAACCGAACCTCCACCGGAGATTCTTAGCACCCCCTGCCCCGCCGTTACCATGGTCGCCACCGTAGCCAGGAATAGCGGGGCCGCCGGGGACTGGGGGCCGTCTATTTGTGTAATTGTTCATGGGGGGTATATTGCCATAGTTGCCACGCTTGGCGAGCGGGTTGGCAACTGCAGTTTTTTTTTTTTCGTACAGTTGCTGTTATCAGGAAGATGCTGCTGCCCATCTCCTGCCTGTTTCCCTCTGTCACCTTTTACGACACCCACGGGAAGATATGGGGTAGTGGATATTCTTAACCGCCACTACACGGGAGTGGCGGTTAAGAATGTGGTGTGAAGAATGTGGCGTGCGGCTCTACCACATATTATAAAAAACTGTTAAAGAATTAATACTGCTAACCATAAATATGATATATTATAGTTAAATACTATGATTTCCATTAAATTTGAAAAATACAAAAGCACTACCCATTAAGTTTCAGATTATTGTGCACCTAAAATCAGCTCAGCAAACATTAACATAATATAAAACATATGAATTACAAAAAATTATAAACAATTGGTTTTCTAGTCAATTCCTTCTCAAGGGGCTTACTCTCTATGCTATATTGTCCTACCTTTTCTGTTCTTCACACTTTAATTTGTTTATTTATTTACGCTTTATTTACACACCAAGTACAAAAAGGCAGAATCAATGCAACAGGGCATTCTTTACCAGTCTACCTCCAGGCTAAGCAGAGAAAATATTGTGGGTGCAAAGTACAACTGAGTTAAAAATATATAAATACATAATATTACCATAACTAGTACTACATACTAAGACACATATTATAAACATAATTACACAAATATATTATATAGATATAGGGTAGGTGTGCCAGTCTCACACCAGAAACCAGTAGAAGACCATTTCAATTTTCAAAGCTAAATATTATTTTTTTTTTTTTTTTTACTTTTATTGTACACCACAAACAAATATACAGTTAACAAAACACAAAAAAAGATTATAATATTATGTAAGTACAATTTGGCGGCCTTATCGCTACATAGCGATCTCTTCCAGGCAACCAAAGGTGTAAGGATTAGAACAGTGAGAACTAGGTAGGTGGTGCAATATAAATATACATAATATAATAGCGATTTATAGACAATACATGCAATAAAATAACATACAAATAACTAATACATGAAATTATATAAATTGCTAAAATATAATAAAAATAAAGTAAAACATATATAAATATAAATATACATACGTATATATAAATATATAAACAAACTTACACATTTACTCAAATATAGATATATATATATACATATACATAAAAAATTCCTCAAACAATAATATAAAGCAGATAAATACAATAGATACATAATCACTTAATTTATTCTAACGGTGTTAAAACGACTGAGACAAGTAATGCTCTTTAAGTAGTCGCTTAAATATAACAATCGTTTGTGCTTCACGTATACGCAACGGTAGGGCATTCCAGAGCTTGATAGATTGGACAGTAAAAGATTTATTAAAAAAGGAAGTATTGTGAGTTGGAACCCTTAAAATGAATTTTCTTGAAGAACGTAGAGGTTCTCCTGGAAGCCCTACAAAACTAAACTTCTCCTTTAGATAAGGAGGTGTAGAAGGGTGAAATAATACACAGTACAGAATAGAAAGAATATGCATATTCCGGCGAAGTCGGATAGGTAACCACTTGAGACGTGAGCGAAATTGGGAAATATGGTCAAATTTGCGCAATCCAAATATGAACCGAATACTAGTGTTTTGAAGTCTCTCAAGCTTATTTAGCTGGTCCTCAGTTATGTCTACATAGCTTGCGTCAGCATAGTCGAGAATCGGAAGGAGAAGAGACTGTGCGAGCATAATGTCTCTTATAAATATTAATGTTGTTTTGAATTTCCTCTAAATGTCTCTTAAATTTTTTATATTTGGTAGCCTTGACCAATCATGTAATCATAACTAAAAGTGATATATGTGCCATGTACATCAGTAAAAAACAAATAATCCAAAGCAAACAATTGTTCACTTTGTTCCGGACGGCCATTTTACTAAGCATGCATATGGTAATTTATTTTAACCCTTTAAAATCCTTGTTTATATCAATTATTGTAAACTATTTTCGAGTTGTGTGTTGTTATGAACTGCATAATATAATGAATACAATAATAAAGAAAAATCTCATTATTTTTCAAAGCCACAAACTACTCCTCCAGAAAATGGTTCCCGAGCAAGTGTTTGAATGATGCCTTGCTCTTGGCTGCATGTACACTGCTCGGTAACTTGTTCCACAATCTTACCACATGGGAAGTAAAAGATTTGAACAAAAAGCTAGTGTGACAGAGAGGGACAGGAAAATTAGACTTTGTCGCAGAATGTAGACAATGATTATGGGAATTACCCTGAAACTGGAATTTGCATTTCACATATTCAGAGACAATCGGATCATGTAAAACTAAAAATAATGTGCGCAGTATTCTAAAATATCTGGGTAGGTAGATCTGGTAGCCATTTAAGATAAGAATGATAAGAGGAAATGTAGTCATATTTATGTAAACCAAAAATTAAGCATATACAATTATTAAGAAGTCGCTCCACTTTGCTTAGAAGTTCCTGTGAGGCATCAGCATAGAAAACATCTGCCTAATCCAAAATAGACAACACTAGTGTCTGCATTGACATTGACTTAGTCCCTACCAGTAAAAAATTCTTAAGACAATACACATAATGCAGCGTTAGTGACCTTTTCGCTCACTTCACGTATGCGCGGTTGCCAACAGAGGGTAGTAAGGAACAGCAATATTTTTACACAGCAAGATACTTAGAAATGCTTAACAGTGTGTAATAAATGTTATATTACTTTTTAAAAAACTGTGGGGTTACACATTCTAATTGTAGGTTTTGTACATTTCTGCGTTCATGCTTTTGGAGCATAAGTATTTGATAGAATGTATATAATAAAGCAAAATTGAGAAATTAAACCTCTATCACTAAATTTTATACATCTTACCATTTAAAATGTCACTTATTGTTATGTGCAAGTCTGGAGGTAAATCATGTTCCAAGCAATGTCTTCTAAATGACAAAAAAGCCTGATGCAATAACTGATCATCCAAACCATTTTCTGAAGCTAGCAATCTAACCTCCGGTTTCTGATAAAATTTGTTTAGAATTTTTAACAAATCCTGTTTCTTTAGTCGTCCCGTAAATTCTTCTCCTATATTTATGTCATCGGGATTTGGTTTAACTGGTACCGGCGTAAAAAGAGCAGAAGGGCCTTTATCATATTTTTTCGTTCTCTTACAAACATAACCTATACTACCGAGATACCATTTACGAGTACTTAAAACTGAGTTAAAAAACGGAGAAAAACAAGGTTGTAATTTATCAGTGCAGTAAATAGCCAATATTCTAGAAAATCCTTTATACATTTTAATTTAATAAATTCAAAAATAATTATAACATTGACAAAAAATAATAATACAGTCACAATCACATCCTCCCGAATATATTAGCTTGTCTCTAGTATATAGTGAGTAATCTATGGTCACATTCGCCAGAGAGTAAATATGTAAAGTAAAGTAAAGCGGGCTACATACGACACGATATCGGTGGCGATCTAGGGTGGAGTAGTGGGGATGCCTCCTAGATTGCCTCTAAATCGTGTCGTATGTAGTACCATCCTAAGTCGTGACCGATATCGCCTCCTTAATCGGCTGGCAGGAGCAAAAATGCTTCCTAGATCAGCCGATGCTTCCTAGATCGGGGCACCGCCCCTCCTTACTGCGTGTGTGTAGGCGCATCGGCCCGATTTCTTTTGGCAGTCGCTGCCGGCAACCCTCGCGGAAGGAAGTTAACAAAACAGTGATACTGAATGACCTTTTTTATATAACAAAATTTTTACATTTTAATCATATAAACGGAGTAGAAGCCTATGGCACTGATATTTTACAAAAAACCAAAAAAAAAAGTGAATAAAATAAATTAATTAATTGAAATTTTATCGAAATTCAAATCATATCCACCCTAGCCTGTGACGTTGCGAAGTGACATGGTCAAGAATGCCTACTAAACTAATTTTTTTATTGCCGTTCGTAAAGTAGAGTGTATGATATAAGTAAGGAGAAGATAAAGCCTCTCCTCAACAACTAACTCCTATTCCAACGCTATCAACACAAGACCGCACTCATATCTCTTACAACTCCACAAGACCACACTTCGATCTCTTACGTGCCTTCATCCTCTTATCAACAACTAACTTCTACTCCTTCACCATCTCCACATCAACAAACAAGTTATATAAAAGGGAGAGTATGTCCGAAATTAAAGGTTTCTTTATGTTTAAAAAAAGATATAAGCTATTTTATTTTCTGATAGTTTTACTCCATAAATAAAGATTACATTAAAAAAAAAGTATACATATTATTATACAAAAGTATTTTATTTCCTTGTTTGTTGTGTGTAATACATAACCAGATTTTGACCAAAGCAGAAATGAACAAAAAGAAGAAATAACTAAGTAGCATAGGTAGGAGAAATTGACGTTTTTATATAAGTGGCGAAATCATTTCTAGAAGGTTATAAAAACTGTCTTCATCCATCCGGAGAAAATTAATCACGTCCTTGGATTACAGGCCATTTAGTACGTTTATGTGGCTTAATTTTTATCTCTTTTAGAGCCATTTTTTCACCCATCAACTTCTCTTTTTCTATTTTCGAATAAATTAACCGAGATGGCTAATGCCAAACCAACACGGTGGTGTTTTAAGAGAGTCGGAGGTATTTTGAAGAACTCTACCGCATATGCATTCCGCTCCAAGTCCGAACGCGTACGGCTAGGCAGGCCCGTGTGTAAGGTCTACCCCGATAAAAGCCCCGATTTCTTTCCACCCTAGATCGCCACCGATATCGTGTCGTATGTAGCCCGCTTAAAGTTACAGCCTATATAGGACCCACAGCTGGGCACAGGCCTCCCCTCATTTCTGAGAGGGTTTTAGGGAATAGACATGGGCAAAGTCGTTAATCACTGTGACTGTTGTTCCAGTTATAAAAATTTCACGGTGAAAAATCACTGTGACTTTGTCACGTCGATCACGTCGGATAGGTAACAGAATAGGTATTTGGAACGTTTTGTAATGTGATTATACACGATTTGATATTTAGTCGCTTATTATTACTTATATTGTCATATATTGCCATAATGGCTGAGATCAGTTTTTATATACCTACACTAAATACACTGAACTATTCACTATTATTGTTATTTACTCAACGAATAAACTAATTTCTAACACTTTGCACGTCGTAATTTGCATCAACACGCAAAGAAAAGGTAAGAAAAAAAATGGCACCAAATTTATAAGTGCACAAACTTGACAAATTACAATGAGTAAACCACTGACTTAGAAGTATATGGACTGGGCATACCTACAAAATTAGCGTGACTACCTACAAAAATCTGGCGCATAAAATGGCCGCCTTTTATAGGGTTGTAACTCTGCAATATGCGCAGCTGATATCGATATTTTAACTAATATGAATTTTTTTCTCATTTTATATAATTGGATTTGTTGCTTAATTTACTTTATTCCGTAGGTATTTACATTGATACAGGGCTGAATTTTCAATCGTCCAATAACTAATCTGGCGAATAAATATGACTGACTGATTTATGACTTTTGTGTAGATAGAAATTAAATCCTTCTTTTGTGTTGAAAGTATTACTGAGATGGTGATCCCAGATCCCATATTATTAATGTAAAATAATAATGATTAGTTGAGTAAAAATGAAATAAACTGTTTTAAAAATCAATACTTATTTATTATTAATTTTTCTGCACATAATTCATCACAAATAGTAAGTTATACAAGCAAGTTGTATATCATATTTTATTTATTCATTCGGATTTTAAATGAAAAATATTATCAAATTTCGAAAAATTCAAAATCTGGCATGATCACGAAATATGATATGCAGGATAACATCCTGGATATCATATTTCATCCACCGTTTTATGATCATGATAGATTTTATTATTTATATAAACTATTATTATTATTATTTGTTCATTTCTGAACAAAATTATTTTTTAATATAATTTCTATAAGACAGTTTGTCACTGTTTCTTCTTGCATGGTATCTGAACCTTTTTCTGCCACAAATCCCGCAATATATTCTAATACAGCAATTGATAAGGTTTTTTTAATAATTTAAATAACGACTCTAATAGAGGCATACTGAAGACCACTCCTGAAAGTTTTTGTTTTTTCTCCCCCACCTAGTACCGACAATCATACATATACTGCGATTTTTAATAATTACAAAACTTCTTAGCAGTTTTTTTATTGGCTAAATAAATTACAAAATTATGCATCTTACATAAAGTAATAATTAAAAAATACATCACTACCATAACACTTGAAATAAACTGTAAGACACTTATTTGACATAATAAAATATAAATAGAAGAAAAACACCTACTATAAGATAAGATGAAGGCACTGCACTACACAACAAAAAAAACTTTTAGCATTCAACAGTTTGAGAGCAGATCTACCACAAAACTCAGCGCTTAACATGGCGACGCAGTCACGCATGGATGAGCTAACGACGTCACACGAAAGTGTTGTCAAAATAATCAATTGACAAACTGTTGTAGTCTTCCTTTTCTAATGTAGCTACTGCTTTGTTAAAAAGAAAACAAAAGTATTTTTGACAAGTGTGTGTCGATATTATAGATATTTGTATAACTATTATTTCTATAGTAGAATACGCCGCCTCCATAGGTATTATATAGGTATTATATCTCTATTGAAGCGTACGTCAGTAATTTCAGACCAATTTATTCACATGTAATTAGGATAGAATAATTGAAGTAAATGAAACAAATAGGTAACATTAATATCAAATATTGAAAAATATTATTTTATTTACAAAATCTTAATAATTACACTTATAGCTATTAGTAATTACAATTAAATTACTATTGTCCTTGAAATAAAACTAATTTAGTATGATCATTCCTAATTATTTGACAAGCTCGCTAAATTTTGTGTTTTCACGGAGTTTTCTTAATAAGGAGCATTCTGTGACTATCAATATAAGGCGACTAATTAAAATCATCACTCAAAAAATGGTTTTTTCCAAGCAAATTTAAATTAACACGCACCTAGAACGGAATATTTTTTCATAAATATTACATATATTAAATATGTAATTGGAGGCATAAATAAGACCACCCTTATCTATTTTCAAAATAAAACTTACGTGTTTATCATTAGTATATAATGCAAGCAAGCAACCTTCGCACATAAGGCATTTTGTCAATTTTCTTAAAATAAAACCTGATATGTATTTTATTATTTCTTTGGTATAAAAGGTCGCGTTATTAACGCGAGGAAACGTATCTTGGATTTTTTCATCAAGCAGTCGGAAATCTGGCAAGTTTCCGTTTATTTTATTTTCGTATCTGACATCAACACAATTTCCAGATTCAGTACTATTTATTTCCCAGTGACTAACAAGCCGTTTGTATGCAGATTTAAATTGAATAGCGGTTGTGTTATTATTAAATCCACCTTTAGCATTTTTTATAGAAGAGGGGGCAAATGAGCATGCGGCGCACCTGATGTTAAGTGACTACCGCCACCCATGAATAACTGCAACACCAGGGGAATTGCAGTAGCAGGCCTTTTAGAAAAGAGTAAGCTTTTTTCTTAAAGGTCCCTGAATCGTATCGGTCCGGAAAAATCACTGGTGGTAAACAATTCCACAGAGAAGTTGTACGAGAAAAATATCCTAGTAAAACGCACAGTGGTAGACCACCAAGCATCCAGATGGTGGGGAAGGTATCGTGAATTATGACGCGATGTGCGGTCGTGAAATTAGCTCTGACGGTGCTAAAAATATTCCAGATGATCTTGACTTAACTTATAGACGGGAATAAAATCTACAACATTATTCACAATAGCATTTTCAAGGAGTTTTTGTATACTGTTTATTCAGATCAAAAAACCTAAAAGCCTATCTTAAAATATAAAATAAATTTCTAGTGTTTATAGTTCATAAAAGATAGCTTGATCTCTGCGACAGCTGTCAGTAAAAATCAGGCCTATGAAGTCCTGAATTTCTTAGTAGTACACATTCGAGTAAATGTTTTAATTTTCTAAGTGCGCGTCGGGTCGCTCGCACGAAGATGGAAATCGTGACGTCATCGACGATGTCTCGCTCGGCTCGCGGCTTAGACCGAAAATGTTAACTTTGCGCCATTATATCTCGGTCAGTTTTGAAGATAGAAAAAAAATTAAAAACACAGTTATTCTCGTAATTTTTTGTAGAATTTTTGGCATATAAAACAAAAAATGGTTATCTTCTCCATTGTCTATTTAACACCGAATTCTTTCTTCTCTGCATATTTAGACCAAAATCTGA